ACACACACACACACACACACACACACACACAGGTTCATTTTAATTTTTTTCTTTTGAATTATATTTGTTTATTCAATAAAAATAGTATAGGTTCCCAAATAAATGTATGTAGCATTAGAACAGCAGAGAAGTCAAACTAAGTCATGAAAGTGCTATGATTTGAATTTTCTGTACAAAATGGTATATAATCAGAAGCCTTTTTTTCTTTTTGTAGAAATAAATATAATGCATAGAATGATAGTAGATGGGACAAAAGAAACAAGCTGTCAAGTTATAAAGCAAAAACAGTCCAAAAGGAAACAAAAGAAGCCAAAAACTGACAAAACAAGTCATGATTATTTTGCTTATCTGCAAAGCTTATTCTGTCTTTTTCAGCAAACCATGGTATAAAAAGTTGTTGCTGTGCAATGTATGAACCTAGTCATGGTCAAATAAGGAAAGTTCCCCTTAAGGTCACTGAATGCAAAATGTAAAATTAATTAGCTACAGCGCTGTAGAGATAATTCTTTCCTTGCTAGCTCAAATGCTCTTTGATTCATTAGTACAAACATAGGCTGAATGTTTCAGGTTACAAGGAATCCTCATTCAGTGACCACATTTGAGTCTGGCAGCTCTGTCATTAAGTAAAGTGGTTGCTACAAGGACAGTTAAATGACTGACTGTTTCCCTACCCTTTGGAAGATTTACCCTTGATCTGGGATAATTAGTAAAAAGGGAATTAATACTTGTATTTACATTCATTGGAGAGCAAGGGATTACAAGAGAGTAAGCAGGCACACAATGGGGAATATATCAGCTTGGGCAGGAATGCAAGAATGCTCAGAGCTGCTTGTGCCATTGCATTTCTGTTGATGTGTATTCCCCATTGCTTACTCTCTTATAATCCCTTCTTCTCCAATCTCCACTCTGCAAAGGGAGAACAAAAACACATCAGGACAGGGCAGGCACAGGACAATGCATATTGATTATAATAGCAATCATATGACTGAGGAACATTGTGAAGGTCATAAATGTGGGCATTGATCATAAAGTTATTTTTTCAATACCATTGTAACTTTGAATGGTTACTAAATGAGGCAGTTAAATGAGGTCTCCTTTATTACACAAGATTGCCCATCCTCCCTACTAATCACCTTGTTTGCTAATGTCAGGGAAATGGTCAGAAGTGAAACTGTTACGGGGATAGAATTTCTACACTCCTAGAATTTTTGCGCACTCTAGCAGACAGCTAGGAATGTAATGGTTTGAAATTATATTTTGGGGTTAAACTCATGGCAATGAGAGGAAAGCTGATGGTCAGTAAATCTATCAACTTCACATAGATTCAAAGTACATTGTGATGATGTTTTATATCAGTGCCTCCAGTCTATGATGCTAGAGCCATCTGGTAGTCCATTTAAGGTGAATGCGCAAAAGAATGACTATTTCTGTCTTTGGCGTCTTGGTGTGTGCACATATGGATGTGCCAAACAAATTCCCGTTTTTTGTTTTTCTGGAAAAAATGGAATTATATTGCACTGAACTCTGCCCCATAGTTATATTCCATATCAGGATACATAATTGCAACTTTAGTGTTAAAACCATTGCTTTAAAATATTTGAGATAGTTTTTAGGGCCAAACCAGCGATAGTTTCTGAGTGTATATAACCTGCATGCAGTAAAATATGAGCTGGATCACATTTCCTCCAGAAGACTTGCATTTGCCATCCCATCTATAGGATAAATCTAAGATGAACCAAGATGAGCAAGTTCATTCTGCTAGCATCCATCTGCAGATTATGTCTGAGCTACTTAAACAATAACTTGTCTTCACGCCTGTTTTGATCATGCAGATGAATGACTGCAGATCACAGTTGCTCAACATAGGGAATGCACCTTCTGCCAATTTGGAGAGCATATCAAATTCCTCTAAAATTCCCTTGCAGATTTTTTTTTTTTGACCGGTACAAATTATATAACATATTCTTAGTCCAAAACTCAGAGATATGAAAGGCTGGGAAAAATATCCCCTTTCCAACTTTATAGTTCCTAGTAGACAGAACAGAGAAGCCTTTAATGCTCAGCAGTAATGTTTATTTTCTTGTTCTTTGTCCCCATTTGCAGCTCTTCTCATGAGGAGACTCCTGGCTCACATCCCCTGTATGGACATGGGGAGTGCAAATGGCCTGGATGTGAAACCCTCTGCGAGGACTTGGGACAGTTTATCAAGTAAGTGACCCGGTTCAGCTGCTATGATCGTTAGCTAAACTTATGCTTTGTTTTCATTCATCTGTATCCCTGTATAGAGCTAAATGTATAAACAGAAATGCCGGTAATTATTGTTCTTGGATCATGAGGATGGCTTCCTCTGTACTGGACTTAGTTTACTTTGGCATGTCAGAAGATAAAGGGCCCTTGGTGCTCTCTGAGCTTGCTTGTTTTTTTGCAGACATTTCATTACCCAAACTAGGTAACATCATCAGTGCTAGTAAGAAATGCTGTTTACTGTCAGTTTATATCTACAATATAATAGAATATTCTATGTATTCTTATATTCTATTCTAGAATATAACTGACAACAAATGGCAATCCTTACTAACACTGATGATGTTACCTAGTTTGGGTAATGAAATGTCTGCAAGAAAACAAGCAAGCTCAGAGATTATTACCAAGGACCCCTCATTTCAACCCTGAGCTACAAATATTCTCCTTTATTGATATCAGAAGATAGTTTTGCTATCTTTAAAGAAGTAGTTGCCTAGCAAGGTTTGACAATTAACCCCTATTTGGAGCTTGAAGCAGATCTATCTGCCACGATTATATGGAGAAAAATTGATCACAGTATGTGTTCTCAAAATTCCCTGAAATGAAGGTAAGTCACTTTGCTCCTCACTTGTGAAATATAGTTAGGTTCCCGCTATATACTTAATACGGAGAATGTCGAAAGCTATGAGGCACCATGGCTGTACACTAAGAAGTACAAAAGGGGGTGTAGACAGGAGGAAAAGAAGCTGAGGGGATCTACATAAATGAGACCAGCAAAGTTTATAACTTGTCCATGTTAGGCAAAGGAAGGCAGGAAGGTGGGGGTGGAGGAGAGAACTAGAGAGAAACAGATGGCAGCACGGCAGCCTGCTGACACCGCTTGTGGGCTCTGTCACTGACTGATTAACTCTGCTGTCTAAGAGCCCTCTGCTAGCGTCAGGGTCAAACAAATTGTTTTCACGCTTCGTCAGAGGTTTACTTAATTAGTTCATTTGCAATTAGATCTCTTTGTAGCCAAGATTTTTAGCAAAGACATCAGATGAAACTGACGGGTTTTCTTTTCCTTGCCTCTTTGGGATTTTCCCCTCCCCTTCTTTGCTTTGTGACTAGACATGCTCCCCCTCCCACATGCACAATATACCTCTGCTTGTTTTAAACCCTCCCCCCCCACTCTACTGCCTTTTGAATAGAATGTTGGGGAGGGGGATGGAAATGATGTTAAGAAGGCGGGAGATATTGGGAAGCACAGCCTGTGTGCCTAATCAGACAGTGTGCAATGTTATTCTGCAAACTGAGCATTTCAACAAATCTTCCTTTTACTAATGGAAGATCACTACAATAGTCAACAAGTGTCAAACTGTAACAGACTTCAGTACTCCTTCCAAACTCCTCCGAGCACTTTGCATTTCAAAATGAGAAGGGCAAATGGAAAATTGTTTATATATATATATATATATATATATATATATA